ATAATAATACCCCCCCCTACCAAAAAACAAACAAACAAAAAAAAAACCCTCCCCCCAAAAAATTATAATGTAAAACAAAATTTTTAAAAAAACCTACCACACAGAGAAACAAAAACAAACAAACAAAAGAAAGACAAAAAAAACAAAAACAAAAAAACAAACAAACAAACAAACCAAAAACGACTGGATCTAGAGGACCTGGCGCTGAAGGTCAACAGTCGGTCTTAAGGCCATGAAGCCGCTTTCAGCAGGCGTTGTGGTGGGCCGTTAATTTAACTCTTTAAGGACCATCGCTTCTCGCCTTTTGGCAAAGATCAAAGTGTAGTATCTGTTCACGACTTTTCGGCCTTGTGCTGAATATAAAGTGGGACAGCAAATACTACCAAATAGTCAGACTTTAACTAGCCTCTATTATAATATGTAGTGGATGACAACGTCCTCTTTAAAAAAAATAAATAAACAACAACCCCAAACCAACAACCTCTTGGAGGACGCGCATTCTGGCCATTCTCTTGAAGACGCACTGTTTTGGGGCACTTTTTAAAAGAAGCATTACTCCTTTTTCATACACATTTTTCAATTATGTTTGTTTTAGTGGGTAGCTGACTGGTGCTCTGTAATGATTTTCCCCTTACTTCTTTCCTATCAAACATTATTCTGGTGTCCTTATCTCTCCTTCTTTTTGTGTTTGTTAATGTTACTCTCTTGTAACACCTCTAATCTTTGGCACTGATCAGTGATATGATGCAAATGCCCCAAAACTCTTACAAAAAGTACGGCTTTATCTGGATGTTATAAAGACAGACAACACAGTGCATATGTGTCACGACGTGGTGGAATATGGCGCTCGTCAGTTTGGCATATTAGGGAGGTTTTAGTATCAGCTGAAAGATCGTTCATTTTTCTGTCTTTGGATATAAAAATTATCCAGCTATATTGAAAAGTAGTTGAGATATTTTTGAATGAAGGAGGTGGGGTTTACCTGGTTTTAGAGGTAAAATTAGCGAGAAAATAACCGTCAAAGTTTGGTGATCTCCAAAGCTTGAGAGTGTTTGGATACCGCAAATATACAGCTTTTGTGCCTTTAATCGATATCTTTAGGTATAATCCACACAGAAATGTGTCTTTGAATGGACATGAAAGATTTTGAACCAAAGAAGGGAAAACTAGATGTAAATTTCGAAATCGGTGAAAAAATGCTGGGGTTTTTGTTTCAATTTAATTATTTTGAAGAGCGCCTTATTCCACTACAATGCCTCACAAACATGAAAATTCGTGATTCTGATTTGTGTATGATGGTTTGAAATGTACCACACCATTGTCTTTGGTCTTGAGATGATGATGAGACTTATTACGTGTCCACTTTCTCCTTAACTCTTTTTTAAAGTTTTTAATCTTAGGAAGAGTTTTATGGAGCTTGCAACACTATAATGTCATATAAGATAAGTGTCCCATCAACTCTTTGAGGATGTAGCGAACGCATATTATGTCCGATGAGCTATCAGACCAAAGACTAAAGGCAATGTTGCGGTACAATTCGAAGCCCCACACATAAACCAGAAACACGAACTTATATACATGTTTCATAGCATGCATAACGCAGCATGCCTTTTTAAGGTTGAGGTAAAGAAAACAGAACTGAAACAACAACTGCATAAATAAGAAGTTTTGCTTCTTTTTTTTTCTTAAATGCCCTAAAACAGTACAT